GTACCGCTAACGTCCGAGTGCAGCTTGTCGAGCAACGCCTGCGTGTCCGAGAGCGAGTCCTCGATGGCGCCGCGGTACTGATGCATCTGGTCCAGATGGTTGCGCCAGTCGCGCTGATCGGCGCTGATTTGCACACGCAGCTGGGGCAGCACCCGCTCCATCTCGAGCCGCCACTCCTCCGTGTTGGTGGTCGACTCTAGGATCTCGTCCGGTTTCTGGATATCCATCTGGAGATTAAGACCTTGGATGGAGAGGTTTTTGAGGTCCTCGAGGTTGAGCACGGCGCCCTCCTCCTCCTCTTCGGAGGACGAAGACTCCTCCTCGGCTACCTTCTCGGTGGTAATCTCTGCTTCGTCCTCGTCGTCGTCATCATCTCCACCCTCCGGCACGATCGGTTTCTTCCACTGGAAGTTGGCCGCCTTCATGGCCAGGTCTGCCAATCGGTCGGCCACGTAGATGACCTGCTCGCCGCAGCCCTGCTTCAGCTTGCTGGGCGGAAAATCGACGTGCAGTTCCAGCTGCCGGCATTGCTCCAGGATGGTAGAGATGGTGACGTTTGGATCGTCGGCCTCCTGCGGCTGCTCCATCGACCTGCCGGCCTTCCGCAGCAGCCAGGCCGCCAGCGACGTGAAGATGTAAAACTGTTCACCCACGTTGAACGAAAAGACTAAATAGTGTCTGTTGAGTGGTTTCATCTTGAGCGATTTGCAGAAGTCGCGCTCGTAGTCGAGCAGCTTGAGCTTGTCGGTAAGGTCATCCATTACCACGTAAGCCATGTACGCCATTCCCGGTCCACCGTCCACCTCTTCCGTGCCTTGCACCATCATCGAGTAGCGCCGTGTCTCCTCCTTGACCTTCTTTCCGGCGTCGGGAGCCTCCTCACCTCCCTCCACGACATCATCGTCCACCACGCCCTTATCCTTGTGCTTGTGGTGTTTCTTTTTCTTATCCTTTTTATGCTTGTGCTCTTTGCCATCCGCCTCAGTGGCATCGCCCTCCTTATCCTTCTTCTTCTTGTCTTTTTTCTTTTTGTCCTTTTTGTGCTTATGGGCCTTCTCGTCGGCAGCTGGATCGGGATCGGCCATGGCTGCCTCGTCAACCTGCAACTAAGCAAAATGGCATCATGTATACAGCATTACAGCATGTGTGAGAAAATGAAAACTTCTTTCAATCTAGGTAGCTCTTGTGCCTGCAGCCTTTCGGAAGCGATTAGTACCCACTAATTCGCTGTTTATCAAGATAAGTGGGTGTGTCCATCCCCTTTATGGCTGCAGCTAACTGGTATGTATTTACTGCTCCCAGAATGATATCACTACGCGCTTTGCAGGGATCCCACTTTGTGTGATCGGTTTTTGGCTCGGCAAAGAAGGTGCGCTTCGGTCCGCAAACGAGCGACAGCGACAATTTGACTGCAACAGCATGTAGTCACCGGGACAGTCATTAAGGATTTAGCGGCCGGCGAACCGCCGAACATTGCGCAAGGAGGCTGGCGCTTATTATTGCGATGGGCTGCCAAAACTTCCCGCTCCAAATTCAAAAGGGTCACTTAAGGGACCCCAGCATCTTCATTTTCAAAGGACACCAAAAGCAGTGGCAGAACAAGTTCTGTGTCTGCCACCTGACGAAATCCTAGGTAGGTTCCCTCTGGTGAACAGATATCCAAAGCCTCAATGTCGGGCATCATAGTTTGCATTTTCAAGAGGCACTCAACTCTGGGGAGGCACTATAAAGGGCTACAAACCTTTAATTTCAAATGGTGTGAAACCTCAGAGGGCACCATCCTTATTGCCATGAGGAACGGAGGGCGCCACCATTGGTGGGGGGAAGAGGAACGTGATCAGCCTTTAGATCCTTAGGTCCTGAGGGTCCCGAGAGGTTCTTTGAGCCCCTCGGGGCCGACGATCAAGGGTCTGATCGGAGGGTCCGAAGGACAGACCAGGGACACATAAAGGGACCCTAGTCAGAAGGAAAGACCCTCAAAAGTTAGTCGGAGGGCCTCCTGCATCGATCGGAAGCCTTTGGGACGGTCATGGCCTCTATGCCAGTCAGCTGACCGAAATCACGAACACCGAGGTCGGTTCCGCGCCGGTCTGGGCAGTGGGACCCTTTTCCGAGGTAGGGACATGGGAAGGCCTGCAAATGCCAACTAAAAATACGTTGCATTGATCGGTCCCCTGCAACAGTGAAGGGCCCCTGTGCTGATCAGGGGCTCACGGTGCCCAGCAGAGGACCCCGTGTCGGTAATGCACCCCAAGCTGGCCAGGGGTCATATTCGCAATGATCGAGCCCCAAAACGGTGAAGGGACCCTGTACTGATCATAAACTTAGTGCACTTGGGGCCCGTTGTGTCGGCAACGGGCCCCAAGTCGGTCAGGGATATATTTGCTGAGCAAAGTCAGGAGCATCACGCTCAATGTTAAAAGGTCAGGAGCATCGCCCTCAATGTCAAAAGGCCCCAATGGGCCGAAAGTCGGTCAGGGATATATTTCCTGAGCAGGGTCAGGGGCATCGCCCTCAATGTCAAAAGGCCCCAATGGGCCCCAAGTCGGTCAGGGATATATTTGCAGAGCAGGGTCAGGGGCATAGCCCTCGATGTCAAAAGGCTTCTCGCGTTGGCCATAACACCCCTGACTGCCCTGTGAACTCCCTGCGTCGGTGAGGGACCCTTTTGCGTCAGTGACATCGTCCCTGCGTCGATACTGTGCCAGATACACATGTTAGAGTGCCTGCTGCATCAGAAAGGGGACCGGTGTATGATGGATCCCTCTCGGGGCCTCCAGATCAACCAGGCCCCGGCCCGGGCCCCGTATCGCCAGAATAGCAACACAACAATCGAGATTATGTTAATGCGCCATAAGTCCATGATGCTGTGCGTGCTGGTCCGTTTCGAGCATCAGTCTGAAAAAAGAACAGGTGAAATCTACGGGCCGGGACGCCTTATGCGCGCATCCGAGTCAATTTTATGGCGCGTTTGAAAGCATCAGTTTCCGACCCTGGTCGTTTTTGCCCGTCCGTTAACCCCACCGAGCGCCAGCTGCGGGGCCCGACATCACGAGGCCCACGGAGACTGCTACGCCGGGCGTCGGTGCTCTATCTCATATACCTATTTTAAGGAGGCGTTCCACATTTGCACGGCGTTTTGAACTGAAATAGCCATCTTGAGGATCATCTGGTGCAGCAGTTTACACCCCTCGCGTCCTTAAGACCTAAACCACTCTTAGCATCTTAGCTGCACGCCCGCGAAGATGTGCAACCATTTCGTACGGACTATTTCAGGGTCACCCAGGTCATCCATAATGTCATTATTACATCATTAAAATCCTGTCATTCCATTGGCCATGCGGTGATCAAGCCCAATACAAATATTGTCCAGTCGTTCACATCTGGCGTTCGTGAGCACGATTCCCAGACATAACGGCATTTAATTAGCTCTCAGTCAATGCTGCGCAAGGTACAAGGACACAAACAATGACGTATTGAGGAGCATATATATATATATATATATATATATATATATATATACATTATATATCTACTGAATATATAATTTGTGTTATCTAGATGAGCCTTTTCCATTCAAAAGCATAACAAAAAGTAAGCATATCGTATCATTTCTGATGCTTGTTTTAATATCTTCGTATGTGGAAGATTCCCTTTAGTGTGCTTTAAACTGTGTCATACCATTTTTGGCCAACGTAATCTCAAAAATGATGATCTTCCCCGGGCTAACAAGGGTTGGACAGATCAGTACAAATTTTGGACCGTGTTCCCGTCTACGCTGGTGTTCAATCTACACACCCTCAATACCCTTGTAAGGCCCCGAGTAAGCCCGTTGCACTACTGACTGTTGTCATGTAACAGAAAGGGTCCAATACATCATTGTAAAGGGGATAGCGGCCGCAGTATATTCGATGCAGATTGCAGTCATTTAATTCCTGACCAATTTCATTTCATTTACTTAAAAATGCGTGCAGAATTGTATCTGCTGGTATCCTCTGGATCCCGTTTCAGCTGAAGAAGTTCAACATATGAAAGGCGAAAATGAGCTCTCAAAAAGCCGGCTAAATCTGATGGCTTATGTTGGGAGTAATTGGAAACCATGCCATCTTTCCGCCGACAGGGGCCTTTTTTAAGCGCGGTACCCCTATCTTGCCGTGGCCGGCTGCACCTCTGACTACCATCCAGGTCAGCGCAGCCAATGAGAAGGGGTTCGGCACGCCTTTGGTCCACAAAATTTTATTTTAGGCTTCTGTGAAAAGTATAAAAAAACAATATACACCTCACATTGGACAATACCTGCAATAACGCTCATCACCATTGGGAAGACATATGAGTAAGGCAACGACACTGGTGGTTCAATATGTCCGTAATTGAACAAGATATGGCAGTACTAGTGCCATTAAAATATTTTCCTGTGATGCGCACATACGTATATGCATGTACAAGACTATGGCGTGCAAATACGCTGCTCCGCTTTGATGTAACGGAAAAAGTTGTTGTTCATCGAATTGGTAATTGTTTTACACTTGAACACCCAGCGGAAGGCAATTTGAGCAACTAAGCCTCGCACGTAGCTTGCTGGTGAAAGGCCATGTAGGCCACTTAACAATGTGCGAGATGTTGTGCATGACAAATACTTTCGGGGAGAGTAGCAGTACAAATGAGTCTTCGCCATAACAACCTGTGCGTGCCATTTGACATACGTGGTTGGACGCCCACATGACCAAATAAATACGGATACCAAGTTTCAGACATACGAGATGACGATCTTGTCTTGCCGGGGGCGTGGTGCCCTGAGAGGTAAGCGCCTTTTTCGGCCTCCCCGTGGGCAGCCCGCGTTCGAACCCCGGCTGAGCCCTGACGACTGAAGGGCGTGGTGCCCTGAGAGGTAAGCGCCTTTTCGGCCTCCCCGTGGGCAGCCCGCGTTCGAACCCCGGCTGAGCCCTGACAGCTGAAGGGCGTGGTGCCCTGAGAGGTAAGCGCCTTTTCGGCCTCCCCGTGGGCAGCCCGCGTTCGAACCCCGGCTGAGCCCTGACAACTAAAGGGCGTGGTGCCCTGAGAGGTAAGCGCCTTTTCGGCCTCCCCGTGGGCAGCCCGCGTTCGAACCCCGGCTGAGCCCTGACGACTGAAGGGCGTGGTGCCCTGAGAGGTAAGCGCCTTTTCGGCCTCCCCGTGGGCAGCCCGCGTTCGAACCCCGGCTGAGCCCTGACAACTAAAGGGCGTGGTGCCCTGAGAGGTAAGCGCCTTTTCGGCCTTCCCGTGGGCAGCCCGCGTTCGAACCCCGGCTGAGCCCTGACAACTAAAGGGCGTGGTGCCCTGAGAGGTAAGCGCCTCTTCGGCCTCCCCGTGGGCAGCCCGCGTTCGAACCCCGGCTGCGTCCTGACAACTGAAGGGTGTAGTGCCCTGAGAGGTAAGCGCCTTTTCGGCCTCCCCGTGGGCAGCCCGCGTTCGAACCCCGGCTGCGTCCTGACAACTGAAGGGTGTAGTGCCCTGAGGGGTAAGCGCCTTTTCGGCCTCCCCGTGGGCAGCCCGCGTTCGAACCCCGGCTGCGTCCTGACAACTGAAGGGTGTAGTGCCCTGAGAGGTAAGCGCCTTTTCGGCCTCCCCGTGGGCAGCCCGCGTTCGAACCCCGGCTGCGTCCTGACAACTGAAGGGTGTAGTGCCCTGAGAGGTAAGCGCCTTTTCGGCCTCCCCGTGGGCAGCCCGCGTTCGAACCCCGGCTGCGCCCTGATAACTGAACACTAATGTGGGTTCTGCAGTCGCTGACACTGCATAAAAGGGTTCGCGGCAACGTGCGCCGCGTTTGTCTTTTTGTGTCAGTTGCATCGCAGACAACAGAAGCGGCGTGTTCTGATGAACTTGCATCTTCAAATGCAAAACAATTGACACCTGCTCGCGGTGCGGTATTTTGGGCCTCATATTGTTCATCCATCGCTCGGGTCGCAATGACACCTGCTCGCGGTGCGGTATTTTGGGCCTCATATTGTTCATCCATCGCTCGGGTCGCAATGACACCTGCTCGCGGTGCGGTATTTTGGGCCTCATATTGTTCATCCATCGCTCGGGTCGCATTCCCCAATAAGAATTTGAGCAATTTTCGGT